GGAGAAGTGGAACCTGCACAAGCGCATCGCATTGCGCATGGTCATCATGGCCGGAGCCAAGCCAGGCATGTAAGTCACGCCTGCTGCCAGCTCCCCGCTTCCAGGGGTCCTGGGACTGGTGTCCACCATCCCTGGCTTCCAGCAGGCCTGGGCATCAGTCCTCCATTCCCCCGACTTCCAGAGAGCCACAAAGCCACGCTCCTGGCCCATGTTGGGGCCCGCCAGTTGGGCTGTTTGCTACAAACGGGGATGGGACGGCCCCAGGTTCTGGGGAGCTCCACCTGCCAGTGAAAGCTGCCGGGCGACCGTGGCCTGTAGTTACGTCCCCATGTCTGACACTGTCTATGGCTCACACATCCGTGGCACCTGGAGAGGCTCGGAGACTCGCAGAGCACTTCCTAGATTGGACGTGGTCTTGAATACAGCAGAGAAAGACCAGGTGGACAGATCGTGGCTTGGAGGTAGTTAGTGAGGGCGCCAGGAGGCAGACCCACCAGCAACTTGTGGGCAGCTTGGGTGCGGGGTTGTCCAAGGCCACTCTCTCACTCTCCCGGCGGGCCTGCCTCCCCGCCAGGCTGCTGCTCTGCTTCATGTGCTGCACCACGCTGCTGTCCATGTGGCTGTCCAACACGTCCACCACGGCCATGGTGATGCCCATCGTGGAGGCCGTGCTGCAGGAGCTGGTCAGTGCCGAGGAGGAGCAGCCTGGGACCTCCGGCAGCAGCCCCGAGGACGCCGAGCCCATCAGTACGGCCTCTGCTTTGCTCTCCTCCCGCCTCGCTCGTCCCCCCCCCACCGCCCCTCACCTGAGTCCCTCCCTTGACCTCCACTCCATCTCTTCCCCGTACCAGCCCTGCACCCCAAAGTCTACCTGGGAACAGCTTCCCAGCTCCTCCGCCCTCTCCCCCAGCCACCACCACGGCTCAGGGGCGATGGCAAAAATCTACGCCCACCTTCAAAAGGGAGGGGAGTTGGGCGGCCACCCAGCAAGCCCCTCAGAGGCCGTCTTGGCACGCTGGCTCACCATTCCCCCCAGCCCCGGGCCCCAGAGCCCCTTCCCGCTCTACCTCACTTCCTGCCTCCCTCCTCACGCCTGCCTTCCTTTGCTGCCATAGATCCGGGTCTGGATGGAAGCACGCCCCCGGCACCGCTAGAGCTCATCTTCGTCAACGAAGAGTATGTCTGCCCCCTCCCAGACCATCTCTCCGGGCCCCTTGGGGAAGTCAGGGGAGATGGCGCCCAAGCCCCTCTTTTAGATGGATGGATCCAGCTCTCTTCTGAGCACCCCACTCCTCCCTTCACCTGGGAGGCAGGGGCCAAGATCTGGAGGGTGACTCCCTTAACCCCAGAAGAGCACCCTGCTGAGGGAGGGCCTACCGGAGTTCTCCACGACTGATGGCCCTCTTAGGAAAGCAGTGCCTCTACTCCGTGGGCCAAGCAGTGCTCTTTCACTAGGGAATCACGGGGTCTCGAGGGACCACAAAGCCTTTGGTGGATACTGGAGACGGCCTTGTTAACTGTGGCTCAGAGAAACAGGGCGTCGGAGAGCCATGGGGTGGTAGAGAGCAGTAGATCAAAACACTGCCCAATCCTGCTCCATCCTGACAGTCAAAGCACCGCTAATGGCCCATAAGCGGTAGAGGCATTTTTCTGTCACCCCCGAGGTAGAGTCCCTTAGAGAGCCTCTCCCATTTCCATGTTCCCACTTGCTTTTCCCTCCATCAGGAGAGAACTACCTCCCGTGCTTCTCCTTGGAGAAAGTGGTTGGCTCAGGCCCCTCAGTCAGACAGACAATACCTGTTGAGCCCAAACTTCGCTCCTGTGCCCCGACTCTGCCTCCTTCCATCCTGTGTGCAAATGGGGGTCTCAGTAAACCCAGCGACCCTGAGGACAAAGACCCAGCCGTGGCGCCCGGTACCCCAGTGCCAGTGTCCCTTCAGAGAATGTCTTCTCGGCCCTGCCTCCCCCGGCTTCCTGCACCCTCAGAGGGGCGGAAGGGGCAGCTCAGCTAGTCTTCGCTCTGGG